GTAATAATTGATATGTCCAATTATGCAACGCAAGTATAAATAAATACTTGAAATATTGCGCACTTGACATTCAAAAAAATGCAAGCGCGAATGCGCACAAAGGAAATGAATAATTTAATAACAGCTTTAAGAAAAAAGGAAGAAAATGCAGAACCATCCGATAGGCATATGAAATACATACATAAATAAGTACGGGCTTGTAAAAAAAAAAAAAAAAAAATAAAGGCATCATGAAGCTCTTCTTATAATCGCGTTTCACGAATACATAAAAAATATAAAAAAACTTACGAAAGTATATGTCTCTTATAAGACAGTGTGCACAGCGCATCAGCTATGACAAACGACAATCAGCTTTATCATAATCAAGAAAAAAAGCGTTGCAAAATGGAAAAAATCGCAGCAGTAATAAATCCATGTAAACACCTCACGGGCATGGCAATTACACGCACACACACAAACGCAGAGAAGGTGGGCCGACGAAGCCCGACTGTTTGCGTCACTAATGACAGCGGAACAGAGCACAGTTGGCCGATTTTTTTTTTCATAAGGTACACAATTCAACATGAAAGCTAAAGGTGGAGAGGGTGGAGAGAAGTGTGAAGGGAAAATGGTAAATCGAGCGACCAAGAATACACTCATTTCTCACTTTGCCCTTTGCTGCACACACCTCAATGCGATGCCTCAATGTTTTCGCGTTTTCTGCTGAGGAATATAGTCGCACTGGTGACGAAAATGAAATTGAAAGTCTTTCAACAACAAAACACGCGCCCCCACACGCGCGCCAACACACTTACTTACACTTGGCTTTAAGAACTTTTTGAGAGGCATAAAGTTGCCGACAAGATGACAAGAAGAAGAACAACAAAAAACTACGGAAAGTGCTGTGGTGACAGTAGAAGCAATCATTTGGTAAGAGAATGAGCGCTTAACTAACAGCAAGCAAATTCAAATGATAAAATTAGGGAGAAGCAAATAATGTAAATTAGTGGAAATGTATTCTAGAAGTCGAAATTCATTCTAAGAAATACATATGTATGCATGTAGTACATAAGTATGTAAATCAATTGAATCTGGTGCCTTAATTGTGCAGTAATATTGAGAAACAAATTGTTCATTTCCATTTTCTTTATAAATTCCTTACAAAATTAATTCTATGCTAGATCCTGATTTAAAAGAACCAAGCCTACCAGCTGTTATAAGAAATCAGTTATTGCCTTTTTTGCTGTTATAAAAATTTATCGGTATCGTTAAAAAACGATATTTAGATGCTGAACAGAATTTATCTTCTGTGGCGACACGACAGACAAAGCGTCAACGAAGAAGCTTAGCTAATTTTCCATTTCGAACGAAATGAGAACATCAAAGAAAACTCGGTATAATGGAATGGGCAAAAATAAATGGCAAATAAGAAAAAATTTGAAAAGGATGAAAATGAGTTTGACGTTGGTTGCTAAGTGAAACGTTTTCTTTTAAATTAGGTGAAGGCGAAGGCGCAAACACTGCTACTCCGTATGACATAAAACAAAATGAAAAAGAGACGAGGTGAAAAAAAACGCAGATGCTAAGATGAATGAGTGCCAAAAAAAATTAAACAAATAAAAAGTGAAAAGTTTAAATGCGTCTAAAGGACGACGTAAACGACGACGAGGAAGAGTGAATAGATTTAGCGGGTGACAGTGCATAACAACAAACTACACCCACTTGACAAGATCACAAACAAAGCAAAACAAAGTATCTACATAATTAAACATTAATTTTAATTATGCATATAACACTGAAAAAAGAGGAAAGCTAAATCATAGCACATATACATACATAAGTAAGTAAAATTATATACATACAAACATATATCAGAAAAATAACTATTTGGTGCAACACAATGATCAATTTGATAACGCACTGTAAAGCTGCATAAACCATCCAATTAGGACTGAAAGCTGTTTGACTTTGTTCCGCGACCATTTGAGCATTAAAACATTAATATGTAGATAGTTACTGTCACTCACACAATCAACACACTCAGGGCCGAACTTAAATAACCTATTTTGGCACAAGTAAAAACACACCCAAAGCAGGATTGTGGAGCAGTAGGAGCAAGATTGGTCGAATTATGAGAAAGAAGGCGAACGGAACTGTACAGGTAATTAAGAAGTTGCACGAACAAACAAAGCGCGATATTTGCAAAACGAGCACATGAAAAGCAGAAGACAAGTAAAGCACACAAACCGCCGCTACAACCCAGCATCCAATCCCTCCCATCATCCCCACTCTGCAACTACAAATCAACAGACGCATATAGTAAATTGAAAAGGCTGTGGGTGTTAGAGGCGCACGCAAACGTGATTCGAGTCTCTCTGAATGTCTAACTGCGAATTCCATGGAAATTTGGCGCCGCCAATAATCCCATTATAAGTTCAAAAGGCACTTTGCCAGAAAAATCATTATAAGCGGAGAATGAAACGACGAAGTGGGGAAGCCGTTTTTAAAACGATGAGAATATTTCATCTAAATATGAAGCAATTAACTAAAATAAATATAATATAATTTGTATTCGAGAAATTCTTGGTGAAATAATTTGGAATGTTATTAACAGCTCCACACGAAAACATGCATTCAAAGGGGATAATTTTCGTCAGCGGATGCTTCAACTGTCATGTAAATTTTAAGTAAGAAGCTCGTTGCTTTTTTCCGATTTTCATTTCGTTAAACTTACTAAAATAATCTTTCATTTGCCTGTTATGCAGCAACGGTCATCTCATTTGCTCAACTGCATTGCGCAACTACCGTCACCTTTTACCAGGAGAGAATGATCTGTACATTCATTATGCGGTGATGCATCATCCATAATGGAGCGCATTCCTCATGCAGTTTATTATTTTAAAACTAAATGCGACACTTAAAACTGAATGCGCAGAGCACAGAGCTTTTTTTTAATACATACAATTTGTACTACCAGAATAAAAGAGAGCGGCAATGCTTTAGAAATTATTGAAGAAATACATAAACATGATAAAAAAACATAGTGAGGTGCAACCGTTCTCCCGAATCGAGTTAGAAGTTTGCCAACATAACAAAATCATATAAAATTAAAAATTAAATAAAAATTATTTGCTCTAAACTGGCGTTGTTTGAGATTGAGACTAAGAATTAGTATGTGAGTTTGAGTTCAAAATTTTAAAATTATAGTGTTTGAAAACGTCAAAATGCTAAAAGTTTTGCGCTTTCTATATTAATGTAAAACATGCACACTATTGAATGGTAATAAGTTTGTACATATGTATGCTACATACTCGTATAATAAAGTTTTTAACAATAAAATGCAAATAATTAAAGTAAGAAATAATAATTTTAACGATATAGTTAATATTCAGAATGTATTACCTATACTTTTTTATTAAACACTAGCAAAGTGTGGTCTAAAAAAAAATACCATTTTTTGTTTGGTTTACCCGAATCTCCTCATCCAACAGCCTTTGCTTTTAGTGTTTGTACCGACCTTTGAAATTACAAAAATCTTAAGAATTCTTTCTGGAATGTTTTTTTAATAAGACTTTCTCTTTGGAAGTTGTATTAGATGATTTTCTATTGGACCTGCAATTCCAAAGCAGACGAGGTATTTCCAAAGCAACTGAAGCCAAGTAAAGAAAAAAATCGCAATCTCTCAGAAAACTTTTCAAAAACACCATACCTCAAAATTTGGTTGAAGAACGCCCCATCTCAGCTGACGATTCAAAAACGCCCTATCTCAAACGAAAATACATTGAAAATGTACTGAGAGAGGGCGTTTTTGAACCGAATTCTGAGTTAGGGCGTTTTTCAATTAAATTCTAAAATAAGGCGTTCTTAAAACAAATTCTGAAATTGGGTGTTGTTGAAAAATTTTGTGAGATAGGGCGTTTTCGAACTGGCCGATCTTCCACTCAGCCATCGATATGTAATTGGCAAGATTCTCTGCATTTATTTCTTTAAAGTCGCATTTAACGGCACATTTCTTGAACACACCCTTGACAACTACAAACATATTATGTACCTACCATACAATGACATTGAAATATGTACACATTGTCGTCATGTCTGTCTACAAGCCGCTAAGGAGTGGCTAGAATAGATGGCTGATTAACTTATTGGTTAGTCGCATTCATACGCGGGTAAACAAATGGGAAACCACACACCAAAACACACAAAAAGAATTCGAGAGTTATAGAAAAACAGGCGAGTTTTATGAGAGCACATAAACTAGACAAATATGTAACTATTTTCATTTAATTAACTTTCCCATTCAAATATTTTACGAAATCTCGTATATGGAAGCAATTAAAATTAAATTTTTATGTAGCTGTAAAATAAAGTTTTTTATTTGAAGTAAAATGTGGACACTCTTCTCTCATACGCCGCGGACACCTAAGTAACACGCTTTTTTGCTCCATATTTCATACAAAACATCTTGCGCATTTTCATTTGACCACTCATTATTTCGCATTTATCCATCGATTTTCTTCATCAGTAACTTGATTTTTTTTTTTTTTTTTTGTAACAGAACAGGCTTTAGTAAAAATGCAAATATTTGGCACAGAACTGGTTTTTTGTTTTAATTTTTCTTCTGTTAAAGTTTGATTTTTTTTTCATTTTTTCATGCAATAAAAAATAAAAAAAGCTGGAATGATTAATAAATTTTTCAGAAACTATACGCCCTATCGGAAAATGATGTATATACGGTGTATGGAGAATTTCATTTGCCCTAATTTATATTAAGATTTTTAAATTGGTTCGCAAGATATACGGGATTAAAAGGAACCAATTTTTGCTTTAAGCTGAATAATGGTAAATTGCAAATACATATCTCGAAAACGTATCCATAGAAAAAAAAATTAACCCGATTTTCGGAATCACCAAGCAATGCTACATAGAAATTGCGATAGTGGCGTCTGGAGAACAAAAACCAAATTAAAATTTGTGATCCAGTGTAATATTTATGTATGCATGCATGCGTTTTTTTTTACCTTAACAAACTGAGTTCGCTACGGGTGTTGCAATCGCAACTATTCTCCGATACTTTAGGTATTCCTAATATAAAAAATTCAACGTCCAACAAATCCACAATTACGTTAATGTATGCAACTACATGTGTATACACCGAATCGCAATAAAAGAGAAGGTTCTGCGGCACAATTAGCTGGACACTGCTGCCGACTTTGCCGACTACTGACGCGTTGCAACAATTTACACGTTTTCACGTCTTCTCTAACTAATATTACGTTTTTTTTTTTTTCTTATGATCGTTGGCGGCAGACTTTTCCTTTGTTTGCTTTCTTTTATCAATTATTGCACTTCAAATGTGAAATTTTTCGCACTACAACACCGCTACTATGAATGTGAATGCGTATGTGTGATTCTTTTTGCAAATGGAGCTTTGTAATAGTAAATTTTTGCTCACAATTATCTTCTTTGCGTTCACGCAACACCGACAAGAAACATGCTAACTCGCTTCTCACCGCAACTTAACTACCAACACGCCAATTGGCCAAACTGGAGTTGAGCATCGAAAGCTAACGAACCGAAACTCACAATATGGCCACGAACGAAATGAATGTGGATGGCAACGAGATGACGAATGAGCGCCACAGCCAAACGGTCGAATCAATGAGAGCATCTCGTCAGCGAAACTTTTAGCAACGATTGTGCGCCGTTTCGTCGCTGTACTCGTTGGGTCGGGATGGGATCTGGTACTGGTACGCGCGAGGCAGAACCAGCTAGAATACACAGGCAGCTTGTTTGCAAAAAGCGTGGGGACAAGCATACCAAGGAGGAAGACCTCTTTGCAGCTTTGACGCTGCTGCCACCGTTGCCGTCGCCGCCACCACCGTGGCTGCAACTGCAGCCTGCCGAAGTGTATGTGGACACCAATCGGAGGAATGTGCTGCAATAACAATGGAGCTGCCACTGTAGAATTTTAAATCGGCCCGTATAACCCACTGCTGCTGTCTATAACTGAACTTAACGGAGGC